GAAAGAAAGAAAGGAAGACAGACAGGACGGGGCTGGGAAAGGCCTGGATGCCAGGATTTTAGCCCCACAGCTGTAGGGGTCAGACTCCAAAGGGGATTTTGCTGGCTTTAACCGATACCTTTTAAGATTTGCGGTTTTATAGCATTTCACTAACACTGTGGGGAAGAATCTTAATACCCTGACGGCCTCCTCAGATACCATTCGCCCTCCTAATCCTTTTGATTTGCCATATACTCTGATGGCATTTCACAAACCTGCAATATTAATGCCTCCGAGTTGAGGGTCAGGGTGAGCAGGGGGAGACTTTGAAACAGAAACATTTTAAGCTCTATTAGAAAGGGCAAAAAGTCAGCTGGCTTTGAAATGAACTCGCGCAGCGGGAGCGGTGGAAGCATTTCCAGTAGACAGCGGGAAAGCATTTGTGTCCCTGGCTGGCGCTGAGCGGCGGGGCTACGCTGCCGCGCACAATGCACGGCCCTTCTGCGGGGCCCGTCGCACCTCGGCGCCGCCAAGCCATCCCTCCTCGCCCTCGGCCCCTCCGCCGGAGCCGGAGCGAATCTGCTGCTGCGGCGGCTTTCGCTCCGCTGGGGAAGAAACGGTCTCCTTTCCTCCCCTTTAATCGCCTGTGTTTGCACATCTCCCTGAGGGCTGGGTGAGCAGGGGTCAGAAAACGACCATAAAGGCTTGTATCTGGAGGCCAAACTTTTTTTTTTTTATTGTTTGTTATTATTAGTATTATGCAACCTACTTTTCAGCACAGTTCTTTTATTTGATTTTCCAGTGTCTCCTGCTTTGCATAATCCCCTCTCTGCCCAACTCTGCTCCAAACATTGGCCGGTCCGTGTGTGATTTCTCAACTTTCAGGCTAACTCTCCCGAATAAAGCGCAAGCCAAACAGAGAGACAATGCTTGACAGTGGAGCCGGGGCTCCGCAGACGCTGCAGACCCAGAGGGCAGCTCGCCCCCAGCTACCGGGCAGGATCAGACCCTACGCTTTGTAGCTCTTGAAGTCTCTGAGGTTGACTGTTCGGCTGATCTGTGCAACCCTGGCTGAAAACCAGAGCGGCTGGCAGCAAGGAAAGGCTGTTGCCAAGCTCACGCCGCCGTTGTTGTGCGTACTGCACTGAGAAAAGGTATAGACAATTTTGCTACAATTTGTAGCAAAAGGCCCTGCAATGTGAAAAACAGAAGGGTTTCTCTCTGCCCCTACCCGGGTTTCCAGACTGAACTGCAGCCCTACCCTCTCTCCTGGCAGGATGTTCCCAGTATATGCAGACCTTACTTTTTGTCACACGGCGTTGCAGACCGAGGCCGGTAGCAAATGAGTTGTGCCCGGTGCAGAGGGCGCACCGGCTGCAGCCGCCCACAGCCTGCCCGCATGCCGGTGGGGGGAGTGCTTCCCCGGCAGCCTCGCGCTTCCCCTCTTGCAGCCCGCTCTGTCATCATCGCTGACCGTAACAGTAACGCTTAATTTCCGTCTCTCTGAATGACCCCGGTCCTAGAAGAACCTCCTGCCAAAACTGTTCACACCGACCTGGGTTACTTTGGCTCATTTGAGCCAGGGGTTAGTAACGCGTGCAGTTACGTTGGCATTGCCGCTGAGGCGCGGGGGGATGGAGGGGTGTTGAACACTTTGAACGACGATGGCTGCCAGACCGACTGCAGGATCCCTGCTGGTGGCCCTCAGCACCAGGATTTCCAGCTGCTAGGCCTTGTCTCTATGAGTGAGCTACACAGGGCCTGGGACTGCGCTTGGTCACACTTCCCTCATCTTCTGTGCTGCTTGATTGCTCACCAGTGTGGTTTTAGTCCAATTTCCAATATGCAGAATGGATGGAGCCACTCCCTTCCGAGGGGGAAGAAAGTTTATAAGGATATAAGCTGTGTTGTGCCACATCACCTCATGAGCCCTGGCCTTTTTATTTACTAGTATAGACATAGTCCAAGTACAAGTAAGCCCAGAGCTAGGTGCTTTACAGCAGTGGCTTGCTCCTTCCGGTCCACAGGCAACCTGCCACATGACAGACACTCTGACCGTGCTTTTGGTCATAGGAATTTAATTCTCAAGCTAGAGGCCAGCAGACTCTGCAAAGGACTGGGTCCTCTGCAGTGCATTTTTTCCTCAGTCTCCTTGTTCACGGGCCAGCCAAAAGAGGGGAAAGACAAACAAAGGGGGACAGACTTTTCTGTCTCCTTCCACAAGAGAAGACTTTTTCTCACTGGAAGAGGAGCTTTGAGATCTAGCTGCTGCAAGCCCCACCTACATGCAATCTTTCTGCTTATACACACCTCTTTATAGTGTTTTCTGCTACGTTATTTGGGGAGAGGGATACTTTTAATTTTGTGGTTGTAAATATGGTTGTTCATTTTCGGAAAGAGGGTGTGGAAGAGAAGTTGGTGGTAGACAGGTAGACAGTAAACCACAAATTTGTGGTATGATTTTGATATTCATGCAGCATTATGCTTATAAAATGAGAATGCCAAAGATGTGAGAGCAGAGTCCCTCGGCTCTCTGCTTTCTAGCTCTGGTACATACCATAGGCATGACTTTGCTCCCACTGATCAGATCACTACCCGATCTTGTTATTTATCGGGGCCTAATCTTGCCTAGGGAGATCAGCTCAAATTTCCAGTGAAGCTGTCACAGACCTGTGGGAGAATGATAGGGTTTAGGTGCCCCACTCCGGCCATATGCCAGACCTTCTCCAGCTAGTGCTAACCACAGGGAGATGTTTCTCCTTGCATGCGCAGAGTCAGTCTGTGAAGTCTCCCAGATCATCCTCGGAGCCCCAGGGAGGAAGCTAGTACTCCTCCATGAGGTTCACCCCATATGCAGAACTAGAAGGCCTTGTTCCCCGCTACATTACTGAAAGTCAGGTTCAGCACCACAGATCTCAAGGTTAAGGAATATATTTACTTAGAAATATGGATTTGCCATAGCAGAGCAACATAATACGAAGATAAAACAACCAAACTCCTTAGCAAGATTAAAATGAAGAGAAAGACTCTTCCTTAGCCGTTGCAGTGGCTCAGCCAGCTTGTGATGCTGATGAGCCTTCTCAAGGGGACGGCCAGTTCGTGACTCCTGAGCAGTTCAAGGACAGCTCTGGAGCCAAGTACCTGGCAAGGCTGGAGAAGGTGCGTGTGGGCACCCCAAAAGGCTTCCTGCTAGCAGAGGCAAAATGTCCCTGGCAAGGAGGGGAGCAGAGGCTGTACAGGAGCACTGCATCCAGCTTGCCCTCATGTCTGCTCCTCCGAGGTGCACCTGCACCTCTGGTTCTGGGCGATCTAAAAATATTTTTATAAGGTTTATGGGGACAGGAAAGGGCTAAAGACTTCTATGCTTTACTTCTGTAAGCATTTCTTGAATGCAGGAAAGAAAGGAGGTGCCATCTTCAGCTTGTCAACTGTTTTAGGGTCTGTCACAATTCACCGGCTGAATAACTCACTGATTCAGATCTTTGCTGCTGTCACTCAGGGGTAACCCGAGACGAGGGAGCGATCACACCACTCTCAAAGTGCTGCAGGGCTAAGCAGAGCTACTTCCATCTCAGTACAGCCGTAGCTAAACATACGGTCATTTGCTATTATTCTGAAAAGAGGGGAAAAAATTATTTTGAAGAATCTGATAGCTGAAAGTAGAACATTCTAGAAGAGATTTTCTTGTACAAAATGACAAAGACAATGAAAACAAATGGAGACTTTTATGTTGTGTTATATATTCAGAAAAACTTCAACGGCTTTATTTAAATAAAATGTCTGTATGTTATGGTCTGCAGAAATCTCAGACTTGACCAGTGAATTTTGGTGCCACCAGTAAGAATGGCTGGACTGCCTCCAGCAGTATGAAAATGAGTATTGTTGGATACTGGGAGAAAAAACGGATCTGCCTGGATTTTTCTCAGATAATATTCACCAAGGTCTAAGTCTCTTTTATGAGAAGTAACCATCAACTGAGGCAGAAAGTTGGAGCTAAGGGGCGCTTAAGTCTCAAACACTTTGACAGGTTTGGGGAGAGAGGGAGCCAATGCAGTGGGGCAGGAGCAGGAGTCAGCGCGGGGTCCATTTGCACTTCTAGGGAGAATGGTCTGGACAAATTGCAAATAATTCACCGCCTCTGTTTGTATTCCCAGTGTTACCAGGGCTGAATGAGTGTAAATCTACACGTACTGGCAGTCAAGAGCTTTCTCTGGAACGTTTTCCACCAGAAAATGTAAATTCCTCAAAGTAGCACTCTTTGCAGAAAAGGATTTGGGAGAGAGAAGTGTTTCAATGTATTCAAAGTTTGAAATAAAGATGCTGTGATTCAATTCAGTGAAACATAAGTTCATTTTGATGTTTTAATTAATTTACTCTAAAACATAATTTAAATCAATTTGCTGTAAATAAACTGCTGTGAATCTTTCCTATACTATCAGTTTGCAAACATTTTGAGAATTCAGTTTGCAATCTCTGAATGCTTAGTACTGGGGTCCTCCCAGAAGGTACCCCATAATTGCAAAGATGACCCACCAAACAGGTATAACAAAGAACAGGATGATGTTGTCCTTCAGACAGTGTGAATTTGTCATGGCTTGACGGGATTCTGGCTATTCACTTACCTGGAGCAGGTAACTTTTCTCCTTGTTTGCTGGGTGGTTACAATATAATTTGTCTTTTCATTCTCATGATATGTTAAGGATCAGCAATTACGTTTTGTGCTGGGGCGACTCTGGTTTTCATGAAAGATCCAGCAGTTCGGCTAGAGAACAACCCAATCCTGCGACTTTGCTGTAAGACCCTGCTATCTCACATAACCATTGATCCCTTTCTCAGCTGAAAGCAAACCCCCGTGTGAAACACATTGATTCAGTCACTTCAGCACACCCCTTTCTTTTATGTTTTTTTTTTTACCTGAATTCCTGCAGACTCTCAATGCAAATTGTTTAGGCTGTCGCTCACAATGGAGGGGGAAGGCCTTCCACTGGAAAAGCATTTGGCTTTGAAAGTGCTCGTAACATTGGAGAACCTCACAGATTGCAGCCAAGCAGGGCAAGATCACACTTACGGGAAAGTATGACTAACCTAATTTCCACATTTACTTAACACACAGAATGCCCCAGTATATATAGCACTTCAGAGGTCATTGGGATGGGGTTCTGGGGGTAGAGTTCAGTTAATTTATGGCTGAGCAGCGTAAATCAGATGCAGAATTCAGCCCTTTGATGTCAACCATATTATCAGCACTGGCTTTCTGGGCGTGAGATTATCTAGCGCGTATTATAACACTGCAGAGTAAGACGCCTGTTTCCTTTGCAAGCAGAAAAAGATACTCCTGAAATGGAGCCGTATGTGTTGAGCGTAGTCTGGCGCCAGGCAGAAGTGGGTGCGCTCTGTCCATCAGAGCTGGCAGGCTGCTGATGGGAGGAGGCTACGGGTGTCCTGCAGCTACTCTGTCCGCGCCAGGTCATATGTCTCCTTTAGGAAACCACGTCTCAAAGTGGCAGTGGAGAGGGGAGTGAGGTGGAGGAGGTTGCAAATGAAACAGCTTATCAAAACTGACATCTTCAGCAAATACAAGCTACATGAGCTGTTTGACCTGCCTCAGCCTTTGCAGTCCTTCTACGGAGGAGCTGCAAAAGTCAGCTAGCTTCTCTGCTGCTAAAAACGGCAGCTCTGGTCTATGCTCCTCAACCCCAGTTCCTCTAGCAGATGTTCAGGGTTTCATCTGGCCACAAGAGATAAATGGCCCTCTTCTCCTGTTGGCGCATGTCACCTGTGCAAGAAGACAACCACAGCTGTAATGTGATGGGGTGTGGTACAGGACCTGGAGGGACCTGAGAGGCCTGTGGGTACTGCTGCTTGAAGAAGCACCTTTGGTGCTCTCACCTACATAAAGCTCCTCTAAGCAGCCATTAACAGCTTTTTTTCCCCTTCTCCCTTAATAGGCTGGCTAAGAAAGTCTGATTCCTTCCTTCAAAGACAGTCTTCCTTGTAAGGTCAAACCGACTGATAGCCTGGGACAGGCAATATGCAGCCCTCATCTGGTGTGAAGTTTAGCCCAGGCATGGTGCTCTGTCATGGACTTTCAGTGGTTGTGCCTACAACCTCAAAGCATCAGATACGGTGGTCTTCAGACTTGTGCCACTGTCATATAGATACAGCAATATTTTAGATTGTCTCTAGGGGCTTCTTGAATGGATGTGGCCATAGCTCTTGTCCCTGTCTGCAGATGCATTTGGTCTCTGAGAAAGTTAGGCTCGACTGAAAGTCAAGGGGAGTCTTTCTGTTGGCAGCAGTGGGGCTGTGAGCTGGGCCCAGGATCCTGCCAGTGTGGATGAATATTGCTTTTACAGAAGTAAACGGTGTGACTAGAATCAGTGTGTCTAAACTTTAAGGAATGAGTGCATGGTTGAACAGGTAGAGAGAGCTGAGAGCTAATAATAGTGAAACAGCTCAGTATTTTCAGATAAATCAAAATTAGTTTTCTTCGAAGTATATGGTATGTGCAGGATGCAGAGGCAGATGATGTCAGGCTTTGAACTGTCCTTCTCTTTTGCACCTACCCAATGTTTTCATAGCATCTCCATTTGTGATCAATGCAGGCACCTCAGCCACATACTAGATATTTTCTGATGCACCACCATGTACCTGTGTGATCTCTCCTTCTTCAGTGACCAGAGAGTGTAATGTGTCAGCTACTATATTACCATCAGGTAAACTTCTCTGTAGATTTAATTTCAAAAATAAAGATTTACAGGAGCATTCAAAAGCATTGAGATTCAATCTGAACATGTGATAGGAAAAATTTTCCAAACTTCTCAGTTTTGATTCAGTTCAAAGTAAAGACTACAGGAATTTGTGCCTGAAAGTGTTCACGCGCACTTAAAAGAAACAAGCAGCACTCTTGTTATTTGCAGTGTCTGAAACGCACCAGAAATGAGGGAAATCCCACTCAAGATACTAAAAAAGAATGAGTGCAATGAGTGAAGTCAAGGAAGTATGATCTAATGATTAGTGCAGGAATTAGATTGCCAGGAGGTCTTTCTGGCAGCAGTTTTATTCCTGGCTTTACCACCGACTTCCCGTGTGACTGTGGGCGCAGACTGAAGGGCCTGAGAGTGTACGCATGTATCAGGGCACACTGGACATAGCTTGGGCACTCGGGCCCAGCCATGGCCGCGGGATTACGGTTAGCATCCTCATACTTCTCAGGTTGGGACTTCTCCCTTGGAGCGGGAGCTCCAAGGCTGCTCTCAAAATCCAAGCCAAGGAGCGGAAGGTCATTGCATGGCCTCTGCTGCTGGCAGGGAAGAGTTGTCCTGTGCTGCCCACGCCGGGGAAGACGGGCACCCACCTGGCCCTTCGGCTCCCCGCCTCAGCGCGCTGACCGGCCTGGCTGTGGCTGAGCCACGTCCTGGGCTTGGCAGCTGGAACAGAGCAGAGTTTGGACTATGACCTTCTTAGCCAAAATCCAGTCCCTGGCATGCTCAGGGGCAGTGCTTGGGCTCACAGTCCCTCCTGTGCAGCCACAGTGGGGACTACTGGCTTTAGGAGGCTTTGTAAAGCTGCCTTCTTAGGGGGAGAAAAGGGCATTGAAATGCTGAGGATCATTCCCGATCTAATCAAAGGGGCTTTGCCTTCTGCTCTCATCACTCTTTCACTGTGTTTCTCCTCCACCCTCCACGGACAGGGTGAGCCAGGCGAGCAAGGGAGGGAGAGACGGATCCAGACACTGGCCTGCCTATTTGTAGGCGCCGCACATGAAAGGTGACCTCGCTGGGGTGTCCGTGCCCCCCCACCGGCCGGCTCGCAGGGCTTGCATAACAAACACAGCTCTGGCCGCACAGCAGATCTGCCGTGGGGATTATCTGCCTGTTTGAAGTGAAATTTAGCTGGTCTTAATCAGAAATCTAACCGCATCAGGTTCACATTAGCTTGTGCAGAGGTAGTAGTTTCACACAATGACATGGTAGCAATTAAGCTAGCTGCTACTGGTTCTTACCCTAGGGTACAACTTTGTTTTGTTCCTTGCAGATTAGTGGGACTGCGCGAGTTTCCACATAGTTTTCTTTCCTGTAGACCCTGGTTATTTCATGTTCAACCCTCTGGGACCGATTATTAGACCACACAAACTGTAATTATTTCCCAAACAGGCG